AAAAAAAAAAGATTCTCTTTTGTTTACTTGGTCACAAAGGGATGATAAGTCTTTTACTTTATTTCCACACACACAAAAAAGCCAAAAAGAAAAGTTTCTGACTCTTCTTCTTAGAGTATGGAATGGATAATATCAACGTATGATACAAGTCATACAACATGGTCCTTCCATTAGGAGCTTCTTGGATCATATGTTCGTGGAAATTAGTTTCCAAAAGTGCTTATAAATGGGTTTCTCAAATTCTTAATAGCTTCATACTGTTCTATAAAACAAAACAAAAAAAACACATCATAACACATCAGTGACATTACCATTAAAAATGTCTTTTTTATTCCTCTGTTTTGTCCTCTGGAGCATTAGCCTTGTCTCTGCACTTCCATTCACAAACACAACACTTCCATGCATAAACACAACCCTCTTTACACCTAATTCTACGTTCGACACAAACCGTCGCTTAATCCTCACATCTCTTCCTTTTAAAGTCCCATCTACCTCTGGCTTCTACAACGGCTCAATAGGTCAATTTCCTAACAAAGTATATGCCGCAGGAATGTGTCTTCCAGGTACTGAAGAAGTGATTTGCACACGTTGTCTCTCGCTTGTTTCCCAATTTTTACTAGAAACTTGCTTCCAAGAGAAAAATGCTATGAGGTGGATAGCAAACGTAACTATTTGTATGATCCGGTACTCTGATACGTCCTTTGTTGGTTTGTTAGAGTTAGAGCCGCATAAGGAACATCTCAGTCTTAACGGTTATAGAGCGAATGAAGCTGAGTTCAGTAGAGTATGGAATGGATTGACTCAACGTATGATACAAGAAGCTTCCTCTACCACTGATGCAATATGGTCTAGTGCCAAGTACTATGTAGCTGATGCAGCCGCCTTGCCTGATTCGCAGGCTCTCTATGCAGCGATGCAATGCACCCCTGATTTGTCTCCGGCTCAGTGTAATCTCTGTTTAACCGAATGTCTTGGTAACTATCAGAGGTGTTGCCTTGGCCGGCAAGGAGGCTCTGTCAATAGGCTAAGCTGCGGTTTCCGGGCAGAGTTATATGCATTTTCTGGAGCATTTAGTGGTGTGACAGCAAGACCTCTGTCCCAACCTCCAACCAAGACAGGTAAATCATTTGCACAAACTATGAGTAATGTTACAAGATACTGTTAAAGGTATTCAAAACTCATATATATGTTATGGTGTTTTTGATATTTGGCAGAAAGCAACAAATTCTCAACGGGAACTATTGTAGCAATTGTTGTTCCTATTGTAGTGGTCATGATCATGATGATCATCATCATCATCATCTTCTTCTTGGTACTGCTTGCCCGCCGTTCTCAGAGTAGAAAATCATATCAAGAAGCTGATCTTGATCAATGTGAGTGTTGTTCATAAGGTTTCTTTCTTTTCTTGTCTTTTAGCATTATATCATATATATACTCAATGAAACTAAGAACATTTATTAGACTAGCAGATGATGGTTACAATTTTACTGGTGATAACAGATAGTTGTGTGTTTGATTTAATTCTTGCAGCTGGTATTACGACTCTACAGTCCCTACAATTTGATTTTAAGACAATTGAAGCTGCAACTAACAAATTTGCTCAGACTAACAAGCTAGGTCAAGGTGGATTCGGTGAAGTTTATAAGGTAAAGTTACTTAGTTCATCACTTGTCTTGAAAATATTTGGAATTCAGGCTGCTCATGCCATCATCTTCCATTTGTAGGGCAAGTTAGTTGATGGAACAGAAGTTGCAGTGAAGAGGCTGTCTAAAACATCAGAACAAGGCTCACAAGAGTTCAAAAACGAGGTTGTTCTAGTGGCAAAGCTTCAGCATAGGAGCCTTGTTAAGCTTCTTGGGTTTTGTCTGGAAGGAGACGAAAAGATACTTCTTTATGAATTTGTCCCCAACAAAAGCCTAGACTACTTCCTTTTTGGTCTGTGGGCATTACCCCATATATATAGTTTTTTTTCATGATGAGATTCTGATTTGACTTAGATGATCGAAATGAATAACTAGTGGTGTATGTGCAGATCCTTCAATGCAAGGGCAGTTAGATTGGACCAAACGATATAACATTATTATGGGAATCACTAGAGGAATTCTATATCTTCATCATGATTCACGTCTCACAATCATACACCGTGATCTCAAAGCCAGCAACATTCTTCTAGACGCGGATATGGACCCGAAGATCGCTGATTTTGGAATGGCGAGGATCTTTGGAATAGACCAAAGTGTAGCTAACACTAAAAGGATAGCTGGAACTTTGTAAAATACTAACTACCCCTATGAAAAGAACTAAATAAGTCTCAAGAATCTTTTGTTTACCTCTATAATCTAATATTTCTTATGTGTTTTAATCTTGCAGCGGTTACATGCCCCCGGAATATGTGATCGACGGCCAATTCTCAATAAAAACTGACGTCTATAGCTTCGGTGTCTTAGTCCTTGAGATTGTATGTGGCAAGAAGAACAGAAGTTTCTACCAATCAAATAATACAGCTGAGAACTTGGTCACCTATGTAAGTACCAAAGAAGAAACCTCCAGTATGTTACTTATTATTGTAAGTTCTTGATTTATCATTACTTCATGTTACAGGCTTGGAGGTTATGGAGAAACGAGTAACCATTAGAGCTCGTTGATCCAACCATTTCAGAGAATTATCAAAGCGAAGAAGTTAGAAGATGCATCCACATTGCGCTCCTATGTGTTCAAAATGATCCAAAGCATCGTCCCAACTTTTGGACTATCATGTTGATGCTCACTAGCAATTCCTTTAATTTACCTGTTCCTCAACCACCTGGATTCTTGCTTCCACACAATCATGGCGTCGAGTCAAGCGAATGTCCAATGAGGTCTACTTCTCAGACTCTCAATGATGTCACCATTGTGGAGCCTCGTTGAAGCTGATATGTTCCGTTTGGGAACTGTTACTGAAAACAAGGCAGGATCTACATTTCAGATAACTGCATTTGAAACTATATATGATGTGTAATTCAAGGTTACGTATGAATTTTTTTAAGTGTTATGTTCTGACAATTTTTTTCTTCTTCTAAAGTTCGGATAAATTTCTTCCCATTTCTACACTTTGTAAGTTTTATCATCCGTATACAACCCAAACCGGTTTATTAAGTGAACCGGGTTTTCTATTTCATCTCCGACTCATTCGGCCTTGAGCTTTCACTGAGTTTCACTGAACTCGTTTTAGGAATCAATCGACGGATTGGATTTCTGATTCAGTGGCGATTTTGGGTTATGCAAAGTTCACGACTTTCCGATTTCGAGGTAACAAAGGAGGAGACTTTGTAGAAATTTGAGCTGCGTCTGTTTGTTATTTACTTGTAACTGATGATTTTGTTGCTTTGTAACTCTGTTTCATGCATCCATCCAGTCAAATTGTCATACTTTCCTTATCCGAAATCATGCGAGCTCTCTCCTCTTGCTCTAGTTTGATATCCTTTGAAAAATTGTGTGGTGCTTCCTTCACAAATCGTCTATTTGCTTAGAATCATCCACTATGTTGCCTCTTGGCAACTTGTTCATCTTGGTACCACTTTGGTTTATTCATTTTTCAAATAATATTTGCAGATATGACAATGGAGCTACAGTCTCACAAATAATTGGCTCAATTTCCTTAGTGCATGGCTCATAATTACATTCTTTATTAAAAATTCAATGTAGATAGGTCCCATGTGTTAAACGTCATCCTCTCTGGCTATGTCAACTTGATGAGTGAAGTCAAGTGCGCTCATTAAAGCGACAACACATTCATATCTTACACTCCTACTTGCTACCGAGCTTTCTCAAAGCGTTTGTCAAAGTGTTTTGAAAATGAAACAGAATACTAATCTTTTGTCAATCTTCTGGTTTGTTCTTGTAGGCTTTGGTGTTGTCTCTGCACAACCATGCGTGAACAATGCGTTTTTCAGACCCAATAGTACTTACGACACGAACCGCGGCCATATCCTCTCTTCTCTTGCTTCAAACGCCACGGCTCAAAACGGCTTCTACAATGGTTCCGTTGGCCAAGGACTTGATCGAGTGTATGGAGTTGGGATGTGTATTCCAGGTGCTGAACCAAAGCTCTGCTCAGAGTGTATCCAGGAGGCGTCTGACGGGTTACTACAGAGCTGTCCTAACCAAACAGAAGCCTATACCTGGTCTGGTGGAGGTAAAACTCTTTGTATGGCAAGTTACTCCAACCGTTCGTTATCTGGCTCACTTGATATGGACCCTCCTTCTTTGGGGTACAATACTGGCGATATTAAAACTAACTCAACAGAGTTTGATAGAAGATGGGAAGAGTTAATGCAGAGAATGATAACCAAGGCTTCCACTGGCAAAGACGCATCGTTGTCTGATCGTAAGTACTATGCAGCCGACGTAGCAGCCTTGACAGCTTTCCAGAATATCTACGCGTTAATGCAATGTACGCCGGATTTATCTTCGAGGGACTGTAAAACCTGTCTAGGGACAAGTGTTGGTGACTATGAGAGCTGCTGCCATGGGAGGCAAGGTGGCTATGTGTTTAGGCCGAGCTGTATTTTCCGGTGGGATTTGTATCCGTTTAACGGGGCTTTCGATCATATTACATCGGCAGTGCCACCGGCATCTCCTCCAGCTTCTTTGAAATCCAACGCAACCATCATAAACCAGAAAGGTAAATTCTTTTATTGCAAGAACCTGTCACAACATAAAATCTACTTTAGTTGGACCAAGATTTGAATATGGCCTAAAAAAGATTCAAAACAGTATGCTTTAGTTTTCTTTCTTTTCAGTTGTGTAAGTTTTCTTCTATGTTTGGTTTGCACAGATAGCAAAACAATCTCAAAAGGAGTCATCGTGGCAATTGTTGTTTCAGCTGTAATTGTCTTATTGGTACTTGCTTCTCTAGGACTTGCTGTTTGCAGGAGGAGGAAGTCATACCAGTCACTTGATCATCAGTGTGAGTTTTTTTCATGTGTTTCCCATTTATTACTTTATTCTTTGTCATAAGAACCTATACAAATCTAGATATATGAGGTTTGTTTAGTTGACACTAGGAGAATCTTGGTGGATTTCTGAATTGAGACCTGTACATTTCTGTATGCAGCTGCCATTGATATTAGGACTACTCAGTCACTGCAATATGATCTTAAGACAATAGAAGCTGCAACAAATAAGTTTTCAGGGAGCAACAAGATCGGTCAGGGTGGATTTGGAGAAGTTTTCAAGGTAAAATTTCTTAGACTTTCTGGTTTGTTTGATTCTTAGAGAGTTTGGATAACACATCCAAGTGATGCTATATTCATTGTAGGGCGTGCTTCCAGACGGGACAGAAGTCGCTGTGAAAAGGCTGTCAAAAACAACGAGTCAAGGCGCACGAGAGTTCAAGAACGAGGCTGTTCTGGTGGCGAAGCTTCAGCACAGGAATCTGGTTAGGCTTCTCGGATTTTGTGTAGAAGGTGAAGAGAAGATACTCGTCTACGAATTTGTGCCCAACAAAAGCCTTGATTACTTCCTTTTTGGTGAGTCCAAGTTTGAGTGAATCCTAATGATCCTTCATTTACTATTCTAGAAACTTGATTGTACATAAACATGCAGACCCTTCAAAACAATGCGAACTGGACTGGACAACACGTTACAACATCATTGGAGGGATTGCTAGAGGGATTCTATATCTTCATCAAGATTCACGGCTCACAATCATACACCGTGACCTCAAAGCGAGTAACATTCTCTTAGATGCTGATATGAGCCCAAAAGTTGCAGACTTTGGAATTGCAAGGATTTTTGGGATGGACGAAACTCAAGCTGAGACAAGCAGAATTGTTGGAACCTAGTAAATACTTTTACCCTTGTCTAAAATTTTCACTGAAGGTTATAAATTGAAAGGAGTTTTGTGGATTGACCATAGTTTTGTTGTAGTGAAGTTACGTTTTTTGTTTTTTCCATGTTATACCAGTGGTTATATGTCTCCGGAGTATGCAATGAAGGGTCATTTCTCTGTGAAGTCTGATGTCTACAGCTTTGGAGTCTTAATTCTTGAGATTATAACCGGCAAGAGAAACAGTAGCATGGACCAAACGGACGGCAATGCTTGCAACTTGGTCACTTATGTGAGTACTAAAAACCAAATCTCAAAACATTTCTTACAAAACTGTGAGGATTGTGAGAAGTAATGGATTTTGTGGTTATTATGTTAGGCCTGGAGGCTTTGGAGAGAGGGTTCACCATTAGAGCTTGTGGATCCAGCCATTGGAGAGAACTATCATAGCAATGAAGCAACAAGATGCATCCATATTGCGTTGTTATGTGTTCAACAAGATCCTGCAGATCGTCCGACATTGGCTTCAATCATCTTGATGCTCACTAGTGACACAATTACTCTACCGGTGCCTCGACAACCTGGATTTTTCTTCCAGAGTATACTTGATCAAGACTTTGTAGCCGAGAGGAGTCAATCTACAGGAAGGTCGATTCCTTATTCTGTTAATGACGTGTCGATTACTGATTTAGAGCCTCGTTGAAGTTGAAAGTATTTCTTCTATGTGTGCAAAGTTTGAGTGATGCTTCTACGGTGTTTTCTTGTTTAGACTGTGACTTGAACTCTTGAATGTTCATTGAAGTAATGTTTGTACTGTATCTTCCTATATTGTGTGACTTGAAAATGCATCTAAGTTACTGTGCGTGCCACTACGCTTTTGTTGAGTATATTAAAGAGAGACCGGTGTCATAAACCCTTAAACAGAGCTATTAACTGATGCTTTATTTGGCCAATCCTGATGGAGGTTTGCTCTAACTGTATTGGCCTGATGTTCCTCGTAGGATGATGGTATGTATAACCAAAACTGGTTTGTTGGTGAAACCAACGACACTGACACAGTAGCTCATTACTCTTTTTGTCCCTCTGGTTCTATGGAATTCTTTCTTTATGTTATTTTCCGAGTCCACATTTGAAATTCAGCATCAAATAATATATTGTGAACAAAGAAAAGATGATTAACTTTTGGCTTTTAAGTTTTGACTTTTGACATTTGTTTCTATGACCGTATTAGCAGGTTTAAGCACATCAGTTTGACGAATTCAGCATTAGAAAGTTCCGGAGAGAAAACTTCGATTTGCTGTTTAAGCTGGTAAGAAACTGACCGATTTATGTTTTGTCTGAATGTTTTTTGCATTTTTTCCTCGTGAACCCTTCTCCAATTGGCTCAAAATGTGTATAGTTTCTACGAATAAGATTCTATGACGTCTTCTTCTTTTCGTGTCCCATAATTCATAGAGTTGCAACAATTTTCCTATATGTACCAAACCAGCTTGTTTACTACGCTTGACTCAATCGAAGTTCTGAATGAGTCAACATAGGAGACATTTATTGGGTTTATTGGTGGTCCACATACAGTATAAAACTTGCAGCAACAAAGTTTTTTGACATGGACATGTTTAAAAAGAGAAAGGTGTGTATATGTATGTATAAATATATTTACTCATACTTGCTGGTGATCCTTCAAACCCAAATAACATTTGCATGGTCTTAAAAATGGAATGGAAGAATCTCTTCCCAATCTTCTTGTTTGTTCTTGTAGGCTTTGTTTTTGTCTCTGCACAAGAATGTGGGAGAAATGGGTTTTTTACACCACAGGATAGGTATGACACAAACCGAGGCCTTCTCCTCTCTTCTCTTCCTTCCAATGTTTCAGCTCGAGGCGGCTTCTTCAACACTTCGATTGGCGAAGGAACTGATCAAGTATACGCTCTTGGGATGTGCATCCAAGGTGCTGAGCCAGAGGTTTGCTCCAACTGTATCAACCTTGCTTCTAAAGCAACGTTAGAGAAATGTCCGAACCAGACAGAAGGTCTCGCCTGGCCTGAAGAACGGATTCTCTGTATGGTACGGTACTCAAATAGCTCGTTCTTCGGATCACTCAAGACAGAGCCACATTTTTACATCCACAATCAGGCAGATATCAGATCCAATCTAACAGAGTTTGATCAAGTGTGGGAAGAGTTAGCTGGTCGTATGATAGACAGTGCTACTTCACCATCGTCTAAAAGCAAGTACTACGCAGCTGACATAGCAGCCTTAACGTCTTTCCAGATTATATATGCGTTGATGCAATGCACTCCGGACTTGTCTCTGGAGGATTGTGGTATCTGTTTAAGACAGAGTGTTGGTAACTATGAATCATGCTGCCATGGGAAGCAAGGTGGCATCGTGTACCGGGCCAGCTGTGTTTTCCGGTGGGAGTTGTTTCCTTTCTCTGAGGCTTTTAGTGGCATTACGTTGGCACCTCCAGTAGATAACATGACCAAGAAAGGTAAGTCTTCCAATAACAAAACTATGAGTACTTGTCTACTGTAATCTAAAATGCCTTATATTCGAGCTTGTGCAGGTAGCAGAACAATCTCAACAGGAATCGTCGTGGCAATTGTTATTACCATTGTTATTATTATCTTCTTGTTACTGCTTGGGCTAGGATGTTTTGTTTATAGGAGGAGAAAGTCATACAGAGTGTTAGGTCCCCAAGGTGAGTTGTTGTTCTTGTTTTATCTACCAAGAAAAAATTATTTTGTAACCATTGTTTTGTGGAGTAGGAGAGAAAACGTAAGTTATACTCTATGATTCCGTGTTTCAGGATCAGGTACTGATATCACTGTTACACACGCACTGCAATTCGATTTCAAAGCGATTGAAGCGGCCACAAATAAATTTTCAGAGAGTAACATAATTGGTCGAGGTGGATTTGGAGATGTTTTCAAGGTATGATTATATTTCTAGTTTCTGTAAGAAAGGGATCCAGACAGTGGGATGAATTCTTTGTATGAACAATGTAGGCTGTTATTAACGGGACAGAAGTTGCAACTAAGAGGCTTTCAAAAGAATCAGGACAAGGTGCAAGAGAGTTCAAGAATGAGGCTGTTCTTGTGGCAAAGCTTCAGCATAAAAATCTGGTTAGGCTTCTTGGATTCTGTGTGGAAGGAGATGAAAAGATACTTGGCTATGAGTTTGTGCCTAACAAAAGCCTCGATTACTTCCTTTTTGGTCAGTCACTCACTACATATGCTTCGAGAGTTCTAGTTTCGTCAAGAACTAATAGTTAGAGATTTTATGTGCAGACCCTTCAATACGTGATCAGATGGACTGGAAAACACGGCACAAAATCATCGGTGGAATTTCTCGAGGAGTTCTTTATCTTCACCAAGATTCACGGCTCACGATCATACACCGTGACCTGAAAGCCAGTAACATTCTCTTAGATGCGGATATGAATCCGAAAATTTCAGATTTTGGATTGGCAACGATCTTTGGGATGGAGCAAACTCGAGGCAGCACTAATAGGATTGCAGGAACCTAGTAAGTTATGCTTCTAATGGCCAACAAAACCAAAGTTTGTCGAACCTTTTCGTTGTGTCAATTTAACCTGAGTTGTACGTTTTGCTGCAGTGCTTACATGTCTCCTGAGTATGCAATGCATGGTCAATACTCCATGAAATCAGACATTTACAGCTTTGGAGTCTTAATTCTCGAGATTATAAGCGGCAAGAAAAACAGTGGCGTCTACCAGATGGATGAAACTAGTACTGCTGGAAACTTGGTCACTTATGTGAGCATTAAGACCTCAACTTTCAAAAACTTAACATCTTTAAACATATGACCAAGATTCTTGATTTCTTCAATGTGTTAGGCTTGGAGGCTCTGGAGAAAAGAGTCGCCATTAGAGCTAGTGGATCCAGCCATTAGAACTAACTATCAGAGTAATGAAGTCGCTCGATGCATCCATATCGCGCTCTTATGTATTCAAGAAAATCCAGAAGACCGTCCAATGTTATCAACTATCATCTTGATGCTTGGTAGTAACACAAGCACTCTACCATTGCCTTGCCTACCAGGTTTTTTCCTAGGAAGCAGGCAAGTGGTGAAATTAGATTCAAGTCAGTCCACAGGAAGATCTGTTCCTTGTTCTGTTAATGACGTGTCGATTACTGATTTAACGCCTCGTTGAAGATCGAAGTGTTCTGTGTATGTAAGTTTTGAGTGATTCTTCTACAGCATTTTTTCTTTATTTTGTGTGACTTTAAATCCTGAATATTCATGTGAGTTCTGTTTCTAGTATAACATAGATTAATTTCTCTTCTTTGATCTTATTTAAATATAACCAGAAGAACATCCAAGAAATATGTAAATAAATCTGCTTGTTATCGACTTACAATAGATGATTTTGTTGCTTTATCTCTCTGTTTCATGCTTCATCCAGTCAAATTGTCATACTTTCCTTATTCGAAATCATTTGAGCTCTCTCCTCTTGAAACAAATGTGTGGATATTCCTTCACATCACATCTCGTCTATTTGCTTAGAATCATCCACTACCTGCTTCTTGGAAACTTGTTCATCTTGGTACCACTTTGACTTTTCATTTTCAAATAGTATTTGCAGATCCGAATACAATCTCGCAAAGAATTGGCTCGGTTTTCTTTTGAAAAATTCAATGTAGATAGGTCCCATGTGTTAAACGTCATCCTCACTGGCGTTGGCAACCTGATGAGTGAAGTCAAGTGCGCCATCAAAGCGACAAGACACTCATGGCTATGCATTACATTTCTTTCTAAATTTTGGTTAAGAGAAAGTTCACGTTTCTATTTGTTAAAAACGATATAAGTATCATTCGAATTTTTCAACAATCTTGCTAATTCTCCCTATGAAGAGCCAAAAAACAAAAGTGGAAAAACTGGATTGTGAGCTAGAGATTCGAATGCTGTCGGTTGGAAAAACTGGATTTTTCTGATCCCACATTTGAAAATTCAACGTTAATATACTGTTCGAACAAAGAAAAACTATAGACTTTTGACTTGTGAATCGCTTTTATGACCGTATATTTATGTGCAAGGTTTATGGACCGTTGTTATCAGTTTGACAACTTCAACATTACAAATTTCAGAGAGATATTTGGTTTGCTGTTTAAAACTGTGTACGAACAAGAGAGATGAATAAATACTAAAGACAAATATTTTGGAAAAGGAACAATGAAGCACAGGAGTTTGTTATCAATCCTCTGTTTTCTCCTCATAATAAGATTTCGTGTTGCTCAAGTTTCAGCACAAACATGCACGGACGACAATGGGAATTTCAGGCCAAACGGTACATACGACGCAAATCGCCGTCTCATCCTCTCTTATCTTCCTTCAAACGTCACGACTCACGACGGCTTCTTCTACAACGGCTCCATCGGACAAGAACCGAACCGTGTCTACGCAACAGGGATGTGCATCCCAGGAACAACTCGAGAAATTTGTTCCGAATGTATCAGGATCGCGTCTGATGGTTTAATACAGAGCTGTCCTAACCAAACGAACGCGTATACATGGCCAGGTGACGCCACGCTTTGCCTTGTGCGCTACTCAAACACTTCTTTCTCAGGATCTGCTGATCTGGATCCGCGTGTATTGCTCTACAACACTGGAGATATAACCTCAAATCAAACAGAGTTCACGACAATATGGGAGGGATTATTGGGTCGTATGATTGATGCAGCCTCCACAGCTAAAGCCACGCCATCGTCTAGTAACAACCATTACGTAGCTGATTCAGCGGCTCTCACACCTGACAGGAATATATATGCATTGATGCAATGCACGCCGGATCTTTCCTCTGCTGATTGTGAAAATTGTCTGCGACGAAGCGCAGTTGACTACCAGGGGTGCTGTGGTCAGAATATAGGAGGCGTTGTTTTGCGTCCCAGCTGCTTCTTCCGGTGGGATTTGTATCCATACTCTAACGCTTTCCGTAATATTACGGTGGCTTCTCCTCCTCTGCAGCCTCCTGTGACTGTGCCACAACCTTCAGGTGATCAGGCCAACACGACAGAAAATGGTTAGTCTTCCCACTGAAAAAGCTATGAATGCAAGATGAGCTATATATATATATATATATATATATATATATATATTTATATTTGACATTGTTTTATATGTTGTGAGAAGACACTAGCAAAGGAATCTCAGCTGGAATTATCGCGGCGATTACTGTTCCAACTGTAGTTATCGTCTTCATACTGCTTGTTCTAGGGTTGGTTCTTTTCAGGAGGAGAAAATCATTCCAAAGAACTGAAATTAAATGTTAGTTACTTTCTTGTGTTTTAGCTCTGTATAGTTTTTGTTTTTTGAAAAAAAATCTCCCTTTCTAGTTTTCTTTCTTTTGAACAAGAGGCATAACTAGTACACACTCGCTTTCTCTATGTTTCTTTTTGTAGCTGTTTTTTGCTTACATGTAAAAAAGGAAGTGAAGAAGACATGATATAGCAGCTGCAGATGATGGTAAAGATTCTAAAACCTTCGCGTGCTACTTAAAGTTTTATGCAGTCTAAAAGTTAAAACGTTTCATTATTTTTTGAATGCAGAAGGGGGTGACATTACAGCTGTAGGCTCACTGCAGTTTGATTTTAAAGATGTTCAAGATGCGACAGATAATTTTTCGATATATAACAAACTTGGTCATGGTGGATTTGGAGAAGTTTACAAGGTATATCTAACAGTTGATTGAGCTTTGTTATTAGTTTAAGCAGAGTAGTGGTTTCAGTTTTAAATTCATATAATACACTTTTGTAGGGCACACTGCCTAATGGATTACAAGTTGCCGTGAAGAGACTATCGAAAAAATCAGGACAAGGTGAAAAAGAGTTCAAGAATGAGGTCATTGTTGTGGCAAAGCTTCAACACAAAAATCTTGTCAAGCTTCTCGGATTTTGTTTGGAAGGAGAAGAGAAGATACTTGTATACGAGTTTGTGCCTAACAAAAGCCTTGATTACTTTCTGTTTGGTTAGTTAAATCCAATACTTTACTCAAACTTTTTAATTTTCAAACCCATGTTCTTGACATTGTAACTATGGTTGTATAGACTCTAGGATGCAGAACCAGTTGGATTGGACTACACGGTACAAGATCATTGGAGGAATTGCTAGAGGGATCCTATATCTTCATCAAGATTCACGACTCACAATCATCCATCGTGATCTCAAAGCGGGTAACGTCCTCTTGGACGCTGATATGAACTCCAAAGTTGCAGATTTTGGAATGGCCAGAATATTCGAAATGGACCAAACCGAAGACAATACAAGAAGAGTAGTAGGAACCTAGTAAGTTTTTCTCTTGCCATTAATTTCTTATGTAGACCGTAATATCTTTCTATTAACTCAACTTTTAAGCATTGCCACAGTGGTTACATGGCTCCTGAGTATGCAATGCATGGCCATTTCTCCATGAAATCAGATGTTTATAGCTTCGGGGTCTTAGTTCTTGAGATTATAAGCGGCAAAAGGAACAGCAGTCTCAATCAGATAGATAGTAGTGCTGGCAACTTGGTTACATATGTGAGAATACACCCTTAAAACTTTAAAAGATTTATGTTTTCTTCAAGAATGGCCAAAGTTTTAACTATAAAATGTTCATTAGACTTGGAGACTATGGAGCAATGGGTCGCCGTTAGAGCTCGTGGATCCATCTTTCCAAGATAACTATCAAACAAATGAAATTACAAGATGCATCCACATCGCTTTACTATGTGTTCAAGAAGAAGCTGATGATCGTCCAACCATGTCAGAGATCCTCCAGATGCTCACTACTAGCTCAATCGGTCTCGCCGTACCTCGACCACCTGGAATTTTCTTCCGAAGCAGGCATGAACCGGTAGAGAGAGCAGGCCCATCTATGGATTCGTCTGCTCTATGTTCAATTGATGATGCTTCCATTACTAGTGTAGCTCCTCGTTAAGGACATAAGAAATTTATAAATCTAATTGTTCTAATATATGTTCCTAGACTCATAAGCATCGACAATGAACAAAGATTTGTCTAAGTTCAAATGTTTCCTTAGTTAATTTTATGTATGTGCCCGGGAAGTAAAGAATACCATACTCTGTTTTGAAGTTCTGTTTCCTTAAACAAGAATTCATCTTAGTGATCTTTGACATAGTTTGCTTGTCCGTTCTAAACACAACTTATTTAAATGTGTGTGTGTGTGTTCTTAACAACTAAATCAGGAAGTAAATATCCATGCACAATAATAAGGAATTGACTAATTTCAATTATCGTGGGGTATTTTGGAGTCATTAAAGTCATCCTTCCGGACTTATTGATATCAGGCTTTATTTGACCTTGACTTGTAAGAAAATTGCATTATTTATTTGTACAAAGAGAGTAGTAGCTGGAATAGTGGCCTTCATCACATTTATTAATCAAGACTCATAAAAGAGAGAAACAAAAATAAAAGGTTAAAAGAATGAAATGAAAGGTAAAGAGAAGAATAGGGTAATGTCTGGTTATGCCTTTTTGGTTTACTCTTCCTTTTCCTTTTCGCTTTCCTCACTAGATTCAGAGCTTATGCTCAAGATCCCACTTACATATACCATGTCTGTCCGAACACGAACATGACAACTTATTCAAGAAACAGCGCTTACCTCACCAATCTCAGAACCCTTTTGTCCTCCCTTTCTTCCAACCGTCCCTCTTTCTCCACCGGATTCTATAGCACCTCCGCAGGTCGGAGCCCTGACGTGGTTTCCGGACGTTTCCTATGCCGGGGAGATGTAACGCCGGAAGTCTGCCGTAGCTGCGTCGCCTTTCTCGTCAAGGTCACCTTCAATCGGTGTCCGAATGAAAAACAGGTCACGCTCTATTACTATGAGTGTATGCTCATATACTCGGACCGTAATATTCTCTTGAACTCTTCACTCGAAAGTGGTTTGATCGAGTGGAACCCTCAGAATGTTATATCGAACCAAACACAGTTCATAAACTTGGTCTCTTCCACAATGAATCAATCTGCTGTCGAGGCAGCGAGTAGTTCTAGAAACCTCGATGCGAGAAAAGCCAATTTCACAGCGTTCCGGACTATATACGTTCTGGTTCAGTGCACTCCTGATCTGACGAGACAAGAATGCTTGAGCTGTCTTCAACAGAACATCAATCAATTAGCGAGTGACAAAATTGGGGGGGAAGTATTGGGATATTGTAGAGGTTAATGGACCATGAGGCCTTAATCTCTAGAGAGTGTGCAAATAAAGTCCCACATCTGAAGTGGGAAGGGACCTTGAACACTATATAAGGGACTGAGGCCACTCCACCTATTGCCAGTTGGTTTTAGGTTGGATGCCAAGGAAACTTAACATGGTATCAGAGCTTGACCCGCACACTCTCTCGACCCGGCCCAGAAAGGGCCCGACCCCTCGACCCTAGGATTGATGGTCTGCGAGATTAATGGTTAGAAAGGACCATTATCTCGAGGGAGGGTATTGAGATATGTAGAGGTTAATGGGCCATGAGGCCTTAATCTCTAGAGAGTGTGCAAGCTAAGTCCCACTGGGAAGGGAAGCGATATATAAGGGACTGAGGCCACTCCACCTATTGCCAATTGGTTTTAGGTTGGATGCCAAGGAAACTTAACATGGTATCAGAGCTAAGATCCGCACACTCTCATGACCCGGCCCAGAAAGAGCCCGACCCCCGACCCTAGATTGATGGTCTGCGAGATTAATGGCTAGAAGGGCCATTATCTCGAGGGAGGGTATTGGGATATTGTAGAGGTTAATGGGCCATGAGGCCTTAATCTCTAGAGAGTGTGCAAATAAAGTCCCACATCGGAAAGTGGGAGGGACCTTGAATAATATATAAGGGACTGAGGCCACTCCACCTATTGCCAATTGGTTTTAGGTTGGATGCCAAGGAAACTTAACATGGTATCAGAGCTTGACCCGCACACTCTCATGACCCGGCCCAGAAAGGGCCCGACCCCCCGACCCTAGGATTTGATGGTCTGCGAGATTAATGGTTAAAAGGACCATTATCTCGAGGGAGGGTATTGAGATATGTAGAGGTTAATGGGCCAAAAAGGCCTTAATCTCTAGAGAGTGTGCAAGCTAAGTCCCACATCGGAAGTGGGAAGGGACCTTAAGCGATATATAAGGGACTGAGGCCACTCCACCTATTGCCAATTGGTTTTAGGTTAGATGCCAAGGAAACTTAACAGGAAGTTTCTTGTGCAGAGCTGTAATGCAAGATACGAGCTTTATGCGTTTTACAACGAATCTGCCTTACGGACACGTCAGCCGCAGCTGGATTCATCTCCTCCTCCGATTTCAGTTCCTTCACCACGACCTGGTCTGGACGTTCGCTTTTCCTTTTGATTCCATGTTTCAGCACAACTTTTCTTATGCATCGGACAATAACTATCTCATATGTTATATAGGAAAAGGTGGGAACTCCATTGTCATAGTCATTGCTGTTGCTGTTCCCATCACGGTCCTTTTTCTTGTTTGCGTGGCTGTTTCTAGAGTCAGGGTTAAGAAAGCAAGGACGGTTCATGAGACGAGTAAAAGACTCCATTATCTTATATTTATATTGAATGAATGTTCTGTTTTGTTGTTTATCTTAATTCATGTATTGAAATGGTTTCAGACAAGGATGATATTACGACGGCAGGCTCACTTCAGTTTGATTTTAAGGCCATTGAGGCAGCAACGGATAATTTTTCTGAGAGTAACAAGCTTGGCCAAGGTGGATTTGGTGCAGTTTACAAGGTATTACCATTGCATAAGCTTCATAGTAGATGTTTGTCTGCAATTGTATAGTACATTAAGATATGGTATTTTAGAGTTGTGAACATTGGAAAAGTTCTAAGTTGTGTAAAATCACCTCCCCTCCACAACACTCTCTGTTTTCCCCTGTTTCCAAATCTCAAACACATACTTTGAGCATTGCGCCAATGAATGGGATTATACATAGAATCTTTCTATCACCACAATACCTGCACACACAAAATGTTGCCTCATTCCCTTTTGTACAGAGCTGTGGAACAAAGCAAACCCGAGTCCGTAATTATCTTTCTTCCTTTGTAATGAATACTAACTACAGAACAAGGCATTTGACTACTTCATTTCCCTCATTGATCTAATACTGAAACTCCGTTACTTGTAGGGTACGTTTCCTAGTGGAGTACAAGTTGCGGTGAAGAGGCTATCAAAGACATCAGGACAAGGTGAAAGAGAGTTTGAGAACGAAGTTATTGTTGTGGCAAAGCTTCAGCATAGGAATCTTGTCAAGCTTCTCGGATTTTGTTTGGAAGGAGAAGAGAAGATACTTGTTTACGAGTTTGTGCCTAACAAAAGCCTTGATTACTTTCTGTTTGGTTAGTTTAATCCAATACTTAACCGAAACTTTTTCATTCTGTTTGGTTAGTTTAATCCAATACTTAACCGAAACTTTTTCATTCTGTTTGGTTAGTTCTTGACATTGCAACTATGGATGTGCAGACTCTACGATGCAGAGCCAGCTGGATTGGTCAAGACGGTACAAGATCATTGGAGGAATTGCCAGAGGGATCCTATATCTTCATCAAGATTCACGTCTCACAATCATACATCGAGACCTCAAAGCGAGTAACATCCTCTTAGATGCTAAGATGAGCCCAAAAGTCGCAGATTTTGGGATGGCCAGAATTTTTCGGATGGAGCAAACTGAAGCCAATACAGAAAGAGCAGTTGGAACCTAGTAAGTTTTTGTCTCTTTAGATTGTACTCATCTTATATGCTCTTGTTAACTCAACAGTTACACATTGTGGCAGTGGTTACATGTCTCCTGAGTATGCCATGTACGGCCATTTCTCCATGAAGTCAGATGTCTACAGTTTCGGGGTCTTAGTTCTTGAGATTATTAGCGGCAAGAAGAACAGTAGCTTTTATCAGAACGATGGCAATGATGGCAATTTGGTTACATATGTGAGTATAAAATCGTTAGATTAAAACTTGCAAAGAAAATTCTGTGTTATTCAAGAGTGGCCAAAGTTTTAACTATTAAATTGTTCAATAGACTTGGAGACTATGGAGCAATGGGTCGCCGTTAGAGCTCGTGGATCCATCTTTCCAAGATAACTATCAAAGAAATGAAATAAGTAGATGCATCCATATAGCTTTACAATGTGTTCAAGAAGTAGCTGAAGATCGTTCAACCATGTCAGCGATCCTACAGATGCTCACTACTAGCTCAATTTCTCTAGCCGTACCTCGACCACCTGGATTTTTCTTACGAAGCAGGCATGAACTGGTGGATAGAGCAGGACCATCTATGGATTCATCTGCTCTATGTTCAATTGATGATGCTTCCATTACTAGTGTAACTCCTCGTTGAAGACAGAAACAATTGATAAATATTATAGAATTGACAGTGAAGAAAGATTCGTATGAAGTTTATTCCCGATGTTCATTTTCTTTACGTGCCCTGCAAGTAATTAAATGATACTCTGTTTTTAATTTGTCTTTGACAAATGTTGCTTGTCCGTTCTAAGCTAATGTGCTTGCGGAAGACTGCGCAGTGAGATTGTAGCTTTCTTCGAACAGATCCGTAGAACTAACTTGATATGGTTGATGATCACGGCTGAGAAGATCGCTGACATGGTTGGACGATCGTCAACTTCTTCTTAACCACATAGTAAAAGCGATATGAATGCATCTGCTAAAGTCGTTTACTTCATCATTTTTCTTGAAAGGACAAATCATTCAAGGCTGTATACCGACATATGGAACCAAATTGCCAGAACTACCATCCATTTGATAGAGACTGATATTTGTTTTGCCGCTTATAATTTCAAAAACTAAAACCCTGAGGCTGTATACTTGATTCTGCATGTGGAGAATTGTGTGGTGCTCATTTTGGGAAAAAAACAACCAACCGAGTGAGATCTCAGGAAAAAAAAAAAAAAAAAAAAAAAAAAAAAAAAAAGATAAAGGATTAAACTGACCAAACAGAAAGTAATCACTTTTTTTTCTGAGAAACATGGAAAATAAGAGAGAAAAACATAGAGAAGATGTACAACTGCATCTGAAAATTTGGATAGTGGTTGAAATAGTGTGACTATTAACTTAAATATGACGTTCTTTTCTAATGTAAAATGCAAATATCTTTATATTATTAATTGAGAAGTATATTCTAATATTTGGATAGAAGAATAAGAAAAATATCTATTTGAAGAGAAGAATAAATGGAAAAAAAGTTGTTTGGATATAAGAATAAGAGAAAAATCTATTTGGATAGAAGAATAAATGGAAAAATTGTTTGGATACAAGAATAATAACTTAAAACAAACCGATGGTTTAAAAAACTTCCGTTTTCCAGCTCTTAAATATGCAAAAAAAAAAAAATTAACATAAACTATCAATAATACTAAATCAATATAATATGATCGAATGATATTTGCAAAATTTCCAATACTAAATAGAAATACGTCTAATTTAAATCAAATTGTGGATTTCTGTTCGTTTTTTTTTTGAAAATTTCTGTTTGGTTAGGGTTCGAGTTTTTTTTTTTTTTAGTTCAGGATTTTCAGGTTTAGACATTTTGAAAGAGTTTGGATATTTAAAAAAATTTATTAGGGTTTTTAGGTCGGGTTCGGTGAAAAAGTTTCGAGTTGTTTTTTTATTCGGTTCAGGGTTTTCAGGATTTTTTGGATTTCGGGTTTCGCGTTTAGACAAAATTAAAAAGCTTAGATTTTTTAAAGATTTTGGGTCGGGTTCGGGTTTAAAATTTAGATTTTCTTCTCAAAACCGCAACGTTACACCGTAATGTTACATCGTCCTCTACTAGTTTGTTTTTATTATTAAAGAAGGTTTTGAATCACTTGTTAAGTTTTTTTGGGGCCCAGTTTTGTACTATTAGGAGAAAAAAACCTTATAAGTCTATTTTCGAAATAAAAACTTTAAAATGATATATTTTGGAGAATTAAAAAGAAATAGACTCATTTCATAAATGGGAGTTTCATGATGTGAAATCCAAATCAAAGAAGTCGAACCATGTCTTTCATCTTCCTTTTCCTTTTCTCCTTATTCACTAGCTCCAGAGCTGTTGCTCAAATTGCTAATAAAGATCCTTTCTTCATATACAATGTTTGTCCAAATACAACAACTTATTCAAGAAACAGCACTTACTTCGCCAATCTCAGAACCCTTTTGTCTTCTCTCTCTTCCCGCAACGCTTCTTATTCCACCGGATTCCAAAACGCCACCGCCGGGCAAGCCATCGACAGGGTCACCGGACTTTTCCTCTGCCGTGGAGACTTATCCCCTGAAGTCTGCCGTAACTGCGTTGCCTTTGCCGTCAATGAAACCTTAAAAACCTGTCCGAATGAGAAAGAGGTCACATTATTTTACGAAGAGTGTATGCTCAGATACTCTCACCGGAATATTCTCTCGACCCTTAGATTCGATGGAGGAGTGATCCTGACGAACGCCGATAATATTTCATCTAACCGAACAGACCAGTTCAAAGATTTTGTGTCGTCCACGATGAACCAAGCTGCCGTCGAAGCAGCGAGCAGTGCTAGAAAGTTCTACACAGTAAAGGCCCGTTGGACCCCACTCCATATTCTGTATGGCCTAGTTCAGTGCACTCCTGATCTTACAAGACAAGACTGTTTGACCTGTCTGAACCAATCCATCTATCGAATGCCTCTTGACAAAATTGGAGGAAGACTTCTTTATCCGAGTTGTAATTCAAGGTACGAGCTTTACGCATTCTATAATGAAACATCCATTAGACCAGCACCACCGCCGCTGCTGCAGCCACGGTTGTCTACTCCTCCAGTGTCATCTCCTCCGATGTCATCTCCTTCACGAGCAGGTGACTCTTTCTTCTTCCTCTGTTTTTTTTTTTACTCTTTCGGTCTATTATTTCTCTGCCATTTTCTAATCGAAAGAAAATGTTCATTTCAAAGCAGGGAAAGGTGGGAATTCAAACGTGTTAGTGGTAGCCATTGTTGTGCTTGTTACAAGGCTGTTCTGCTTTTCATAGCTGGTTACTGTTTCCATGCAAAGAGGGCAAAGAGGTCTTAGGGCACAGCTTTTAGTTTATAATTGAGTTTGGTCGTATGTTATTAAAATTATGAAGTATGTTTTATCAAAATGTGTTTTTGTATGATTGAGTTGGTCATGTGTTATTTGATTTTTAGGTAAGTATGTATGCTGTATCAAAGGGTTTTCGGCTAATTCCCCCCTGAACTTACTAATCCCCGGAAATCCGCACACAAACTATTTAATCAAGCCAAAACCCACACGAACTCCTTCAAATATTGAAATTCCCACACGAACTTGCACAAGTTGGCCAATTCCTCCAAAATCGCATTTGGGCGTGTGTTAGCTTGCTGAGTCAGCTACAGCGTGGCAAAACCAGACGACGTTGTTCGTGTTTTTGGTGTCGGGAACAATCAAAACGACGTCGTTTTGACGTACTAAACAAAACGACGTGAAAACAAAACGACGTTTTGAAACTTCAAATTTTCTCTTGTAATGCCAAAATCGATTTGGGGAATTTGAGTTAGGGTTTATCCCGATTTGAAAGAGAGATTAGGAGTGAATCAACAGCAAACTTCCAGCAATTCAAGAGGATTTTAATTCGATTGTTGGGGAAGTAGAAGCAGAATTCGGGACCAAGTATTGTGTTTCCCTTATTCAAATCGAAGAATGGGGTAAGTTCAGTTTGATTTTTATGAAATTCGTACATTGGAGTTGGGTTTGGCTGTGAAATATGTTAGTTTAATAGTTAATTCTCGTCCAAATTATTCAAATTTTAGTTAGTATTGGCATATTTGCTTGATTTTATTAATAAAGAGTGAGAATATAATATGTTTGCCAAGTGTTCGACAGAATGCTTAAAAGAATCTAAATTGCTTGTAATTGTATGCAGTGATGAAGCAGAGCGTGCGATAACTTTTGGTTGTCACTATAGTGGCAATTTTCAAAAAGCTGAAGGCCGTGATATGTATGTTGGTGGTGGTTATCGGATTATTAGTGTGCCATCTCAGGTTTTAAGATGTTGGGTTTCACGTTTCTGATTTTGTGTCTTTCTAATTTGCAGGTTGTTGAGAGATGAATGGGATATCGAGATGTTATTTTTGTTGTTTTAATCTCAGACTGATCGTCTGTTCCCGACACCAAAAACGCGAACGACGTCGTCTGATTTTGCCACGCTGTAGCTGACTCAGCAAGCTAAAACACGCCCAAATGCGATTTTGGAGGAATTGGCCAACTTGTGCAAGTTCGTGTGGGAATCTCAATATTTGAAGGAGTTCGTGTGGGTTTTGGCTTGATTAAATAGTTTGTGTGCGGATTTTCGGGGATTAGTAAGTTCAGGGGGGAATTAGCCGAAAACCCCTGTATCAAAAGATGTTTTTGTAAGAGTCTCGTTACTATACATTAGGCAGTTGTGTCTCAATTTTATGTTGTTTTAATAAAATGATCAAGTTTCAGTCTTAAAAACATAACAACTTTGATTATATGTTGTTTCGATAAAGTTATCAATTATCAAGACTGTTTTTTTTTCCTTTGTCCAACTCTTATGCAAAATATAACAACTTTGATTAGAACTGTTGATATGAATGTAATCCAAAACCGGTTAATCAGGGTTTAGCATTTTGGTTTGTAGTGGCGCTTTAGGATTTTATATTACTAGATACGTGTCTTTCCTAGACATTGATGTGTTTAGGCTCTGCGTTATAATTTTAGTTATTTGGTTTCAAATCATCGCTACTAATTATCATTCCTCCTTTTCGGGTTTCTCACACAAATTAAGGCTCAACCTTTTATTTTGGGTTACAAAAATCCCAGTTACAGATAGCAATTGTGAAGCAGCTCATAAGTTCTTTGTATAGTACTGCTGCTCTTATTTCTGTAACGTGTTCTTCTGTGTGCCACATGATCCATTCATATAATTGCAACCATCTTTGAACAAGTCCAACCCCTTCTCTACGCTTGACTCGACATAAATTGCACGAGTCAACCCACTTAGACATTGATTAAGACATTATTAAAAAAAAATGAATACTTTGAATTAATTTAGGCATTGATTAAGACATTATCCCATTAATTTATCAAATACTCAGATAATGCTAGAAAAATTTGTAATAATTTTATAAAATATTAAGTGGCTTAGAATACTTTTAGAAAATTTAAATAAATTAGATTTTTTTTTGAAATAATAATAATAATAGATAAATTATGCAGTGTATGCATCGGCATAACAAATTAGTAATGGTGTTTGAGACGGACTGTTCCGATGTGGTGAAGATGGTGTCTAAACTAGAGGAGTGGCCGGCTTTTATAATACTTCTTGAAGAGGTCGACAGATGCAAGATGGGGTTCACTTCATTTTCCATTGTCCACATACCCATGACGAACAACACGAAGGCAGACAAGTTAGCACGCAGTGCTCGAGCTCTACCTACTGATGTGTATTATGTAAACTCTGTATCACTAGCTTGGATTCCTGAGTTGTTCTAGATACAGAGGCTGTTGACAAAAACATTTGTACGGTCTTAGAAAATGGAGTTGAAAAATCTACGGCCTATCTTTTGCGTTTTCCTCTAGTAGGCTTTCATGTTCTTCACAACAATGTGGGACAAGTATTGTTTTTACACTTATAGCAAACTTGGGTGCTTTTTCCTCAACGATTTTCCTGAATTTAGCAAAATAAAACGATACCTAGCAGTTAGCAAAATAGGATTAGGGAAAGATTTTTCTTGTTTTTTTTTGGAACAAGGCTTAGGGTTAGGGAAAGTTCACGGTTTCGATTTATTTAAGATGATCCTAAGTATTGTTCGGTATTTCAACAATCACGCTGATGCTTCTTTTTAGCAAGTAGCAGAAAAGAATGTGGAAAAATTGGATTTAGAGTTCAAGATGTCTTCTACAATGTTTCGCTTGGGCAAGCCCTTAAATCTGATTGAGTTTGCTCGTAAATAATGACATTAACACATTATCCCAATAGTCCTTTATGTAATTTTCTGAGTCCACAAGTTGAAGTTGAACATTCAACGTTATTATATTGCGTGCGAACAAAGAAAATACCATTGACTTTTGACTTTTTTTCTTTGGACTTTAGTTTTGACACCGTTTTTAGGACCGTATGTGCAAGGTTTAAGGACCACTGTTATCAGTTTGACGAATTCAACATTATAATTTTCAGAGAGATGCTTTGATTTGCTGTTTAAGATGGTAAGAAACAGAGAAATGCGTAGCTTTAGCTATCATCAAGGAACAATGAAGCATATGAGTTTGTTTTCAATCCTCTGTTTTCTCCTCATAATAAGCTTTCGTGTTGCTCAAGTTTTAGCACAAACATGCACGGACGACAATGGGAATTTCAGGCCAAACGGTACATACGACGCAAATCGGCGTCTCATCCTCTCTTCTCTTCCTTCAAACGTCACGGCTCAAGACGGCTTCTTCTACAACGGTTCGCTCGGACAAGAACCTAACCGTGTCTACGCAACAGGAATGTGCATCCCAGGATCTACTCTAGAAGCTTGTTCTGATTGTCTCAAGACCGCTTCTGATGGTTTGATAGAGAGTTGTCCAAACCAAACAAACGCGTTTACATGGCCAGGTGATCCCACGCTTTGCTATGTGCGCTACTCCAACACTTCTTTCTCAGGATCTGCTGTTCTAGATCCGCGTTTATTGGTCTACAACACTGGAGACATAACCTCAAATCAAACACAGTTCACGGAAATATGGGAAGACTTAGTTGGCGGTATGATTGGTGCAGCGTCCACACCAAAAAACACACCATCATCTAGTAATAACTATTACACAGCTAATATTTCACGTTTAGAAACTTTCCAGGATATTTATGCATTGATGCAATGTACGCCGGATCTTTCGTCTCGTGATTGTGAGAGTTGTCTGCAACAGAGCGCAAATGCCTACCAGTCATGTTGTGGTCAGAAGCAAGGAGGTTTTGTTATGCGGCCGAGCTGCTTTTTCCGGTGGGATTTGTATACATACTCCAACGCTTTTGATAATATCACGGTGGCTTCTCCTCCTCCTCCTCCTCCTCCTCTTGTGCCACAGCCTACAGACGACAGCCGGAATAACACGACTGAGAATGGTAAGTATTTCAACTGAAAACAGAAACTATGGTTTAAGGTGAATCGATGTATATAAATATGACATTATTGTTTATGTGTTAGAAGAAGATAAAAAAGGAATCTCCGCTGGAGTTGTCGTGGCGATTACGGTTTCTACTGTTGTCACCATCTTGATACTGCTTGCTCTAGCTTTCTTTCTATGCCGGAAGAGAAAATCATACCAAAGAACTGAGACTGAATGTTAGTTACTTGTTCTTTTAAATCTCTGCATAGTTTTATTGGTCCTTAGCCAAGAGAGGAAACATGAAGCGTAACTATACGTTCTTGATTTGCAGCTGATAGTGATATTTCAACTACACATTCATCACAATACGATTTTAAGACAATTGAAGCTGCAACAAACAAGTTTTCAAGGAGTAATAAGCTCGGAGAAGGTGGATTCGGCGAGGTTTACAAGGTAAGGAGATCTCTGTTTTCAAGTTTTTGTAAATTATGGAAATGATCTTGTGATATTTAACTGGTTTCGTTCAATTGTATGTAGGGTAAGTTTTCAGACGGAACTGAAGTAGCTGTGAAGCGACTGTCGAAAAAGTCAGGACAAGGCGCAAGGGAGTTTAGGAACGAGGCTGTTCTTGTGTCAAAACTTCAACACAAGAATCTTGTTAGGCTTATTGGATTCTGTTTGGATGGAGAAGAAAAGATTCTGATTTATGAGTTTGTTCCCAACAAAAGCCTTGACTACTTCTTATTCGGTATTGTTCTCTTCAATAGTTTGCTTGATCAAAAGAACTTCTCTTTAGTTTTGAAAATGATTGATTATACATGGAGATGTGCAGACTCTGAAAAGCAACGTCATCTAGACTGGACTCGGCGATACAAGATCATTGGAGGGATCGCTAGAGGGATTCTATATCTTCATCAAGATTCACAGCTCACAATCATACACCGTGATCTCAAAGCCAGCAACATTCTCTTAGATGCAGATATGAACCCAAAAATTTCAGATTTTGGATTGTCGACCATCTTTGGCATGGAGCAAACTCAAGGCAATACTAATAGAATTGCTGGAACATAGTAAGTCATCTGCTTATATTACCTGAAAACACACAACTTCTATGAAACCTTTTCCTCTGGATATTAACCTGAGTTGTTATGTTTTGCAGTGCTTACATGTCTCCTGAGTATGCATTGCATGGTCAATACTCCATGAAATCAGACGTTTACAGTTTTGGAGTCTTAGTTCTCGAGATCATAAGCGGAAAGAAAAACAGTGGCGTTTACAACATGGATGAAACTAGTACTGCTGGAAACTTGGTTACATATGTGAGCATTAAGACCTCAACTTCCATTAATTTAACATTTTTAAACATATGACTTATCTTCTTGACTGTTCTTTGTGTTAGGCTTGGAGACTTTGGAGAAACGGGTCTCCATTAGAGCTGGTGGATCCTGCCATTGGAAGGAATTATCAGAGTAGTGAAGTCACTAGATGCATCCACATTGCGCTCTTATGTGTTCAAGACAATCCAAAAGACCGTCCAACGTTATCAACTATCATCTTGATGCTCACTAGCAGTACAGTCACTTTACCAGTGCCTCGCTTACCTGGTTTTTTCCCAAGAAGCATGCAGAAACTGGACTCTTTATCTCAGACATTAGTGTCGGATCAGTCTACAAGCAAGTCTTTTCTTCATTTAGTTCGAAAAAACAAAAGAGATTTTTCCTCACCAAAACTGAAAAGTTGAGACACATGAAATGGTCAAACGATATTTGATAGATTTCTCCCCTCACATAAGAAACATAGTAAGTTTCTCTGCAACTGTTTGATGTAAGTTGTAAACTGTATGGTAGGTTCTGTAACTATAGTTTCTGGTGTGGATATTTATTACATCAAAACTGCAAATAAGACAATCTTTATAGGATTTTTACTCTCTTCAAGCCGATTCCTCATTTTAGAGGCTTGATTCGGTAAAACAAGTCACTGTTTAAATACTAAATCCTATACAACTCATATATGCTTGTGGTTACAAGTACAGTACAATACATAGACTTACAAAGTAACAAGTTTTCAACTTATTTTCAAAACAGGTTGATTTAGTAATCAGGCATGAATAGGCAAATCATTGTTCATCAACGAGGATATACTTCCGTGATCGAGGCATCATCAACAGACCCTAGAAGAGACTTGGTCGTTGTAGATTGGTCCGAATCAAGCGGGTCTTTCCCGGTTCTACTCTGGAAGAACAGACCTGGTTCCCTTGGAATCGGTAAAGTCACAGTATTACTTGTGAGCATCAGAACAATGGTTGATAAGGTCGGACGCTCTGCAGGATCTTCTTGAACACACAAAAGACCGACATGGATGCATCTAACAACTTCACTCCTTTGGCAATTATCTACAATAAGTGGATCCACGAGGTCTAGTGGTGTCCCATTACTCCAAATCCTCCAAGCCTAAGATATATTAACCAATCAATCAATCAACATTTGTGACCATGGTCAGGTAAATATAGAACTTAATGGGCTCAAAAACTTACATATGAGACCAAGTCATGTGCACCGTCTGTTTGGTAGAAGCTGCTATTCTTCTTGCCGCTTATAATTTCAAGAACCAACACTCCGAAGCTATAGACATCAGATTTCATTGAGTACTGACCGTGCATTGCATACTCCGGAGACATGTATCCGCTGATCAATCCCACAATTTAACATTAGTAATTTGGTGAAAAAACTGTTCAACGAACATCAACTTAATAAGAGTTATAAGGAAGACTTACTAGGTCCCAACTATTCTGCTTGTGTTCTCCTGTGTTTGGTCCATTCCAAAGATCCTTGCCATTCCAAAATCAGCGATTTTCGGATTCATATCCGCATCCAAGAGAACGTTACTCGCTTTGAGGTCACGGTGTATGATTGTGAGTCGTGAATCTTGATGAAGATATAGAATTCCTCTAGCAATGCCTCCGATGATTTTGTATCGCCTGCTCCAATCTAGCTCACCTTGCTTTGCAGGGTCTGTGGACATCAATACATTACAGTTAGCTCTAAAGCTCTGCAACACAAGTTTCAAGATTTGGCAATCGAATGACTCCTAAACAAAGCAGTCATCAAAACTCACCGAACAAGAAGTAATCAAGGCTTTTGTTGGGGACATACTCGTAGACAAGTACCCTTTCTTCTCCTTGTAAACAAAATCCGAGAAGTCTAACAAGATTTCTATGCTGTAGCTTTGCAACAAGAACAACCTCATTCTTGAACTCTCTTTCACCTTGTCCTGATGACTTTGACAGTCTTTTCACCGCAACTTCAGTCCCATCCGATAACGTCCCCTATTAATTTCATCAGCACCATCCATCCCATTAGCAAAATATGTTGGTACAAAATTTTAAGAGAAACAAAAAAGACACAAGCTCAAGGCAGCTCAGGAACTAAAATTACCTCGTAAACCTCACCAAAACCACCTTGACCTATCTTATTACTCTCTGCAAAATCTTTTGTTGCAGTTTGAATTGTTCTATATTCAAGTTGCAGCGACTCTACCGTTGTTATATCGTCTCCTGTTGTACAATGAAAGTCTTAGAAGCAGGAAAGAGAAGCTGAGAACTGACATTAGCTGAAATCTTTACCATCAAATGCAGATGTTGTGCCGTAAGTCTTCTTTGCCCTCTTTGCAAGGAAGCAATATCCACCTATAAAAAGCAGAATAGCCACTATAATAGGCACCACAATGGCTACCACTAACACCTTTGAATTCCCACCTTTCCCTGCTTTTCAAACAACATTGCTTAAGATCAGAGAATGGCAGACGAATAACAAATCAAAATTCTGTCAAAAGATGAAAACTTTCTATCTTGGTACTGCTAATTTTCGAGAGTTAAGGGTAAGAACACAGATCAGATAACAGCAGACAAATTGCAAGCCAGAATTCTGTGAAAAGGACAAAACTTTAAGTATTGGTCTTGTTTAATTATGGCAAAACAAAACAGAGGAAAAAGACAGAGCTCTGACCAGATCGCGGAGGAGCTGACACCGGAGGAGTGGAAACCGGCGGTGGTGGAGGTCTTCTAACGGCGGATTCGTTGTAGAAAGCGTAAAGCTCATATCTTGAACTACAGCTCGGCACAATAAGTCTTCCCCCAATTCTGTAAACAGGCAACTGATTATTGATCTGTTGCAGACACCTGAAGCAGTCTTGGGTCGTCAGATCAGGCGTGCACTGTACAAGTCCGTAAACGCTCTGGAACGCAGTGAAATTGGCGTTTCTTGCATCGAATTTTCGAGGACTGCGCGATGCTTCGGTGGCGGCCTGGTTCATCGTGGACAAGACCAAATCTCTGAACCCTGTTTGGTTCGAGGTAATATTCTGGGTATTAGCCAAGATAACTCCTCCATTGGTGTTCAGGATCGAGAGAATAGGCCGGTTAGAGTATCTGAGCATACACTCATCGTAATAGAGCGTGACCTCTCTCTGATTGGGACACCGATTTAAAGTGTCGTTGACGGAGAAGCCAACGCAGTTACGGCAAACTTCAGGCGAGACGTCTCCACGGCAAAGAAAGAGTCCGGTGACCCTGTCGGTGGCTTGTCCCGACGTGGCGTTTTGGAATCCGGTGGAGTAAGAGGCGTTGCGGGAAGAGAGGGAAGACAAAAGGGTTCTGAGATTGGCGAAGTAAGGAGTGTTCCTTGTGTAAGTTGTCGTATTCGGACAAACATGGTATAAGTAAGTGGGATCTTGTGCGGAAACTCTGAAGCTAGTGAGAAAGGAGAAAAGGAAAAGGAAAATCAAAGAGGCGCAACAAGACATAATCGAGTTCCTCGATCCGTGTTTCTCGTCAAGCTTTGGGAAACTCCGATATACACTTACAAAAAAAAAATCTTTGTTCTCTCTCTGTGCTGTAGCGTAGCGTGAAGCAAGGGATGGTTTTGTTTAATCACTTTATGGCTTTATGCAACGAAAAGTCAAGGTCAAGGTAAACGCCTGTTGAAAAGTCCTGGTCTTGTCTTGTCCAACTTGTGTTCAGCTACTAGAATTCACTGCTACTTATTTTGGTATTTTCTTCCCAATATACATAACTAAATGATGAATCGCTCTTAGCTTTAGAAGTTTAAAATAAAAAAATTAGTGCATGAAAAACATTTCAAAATCACGATAAAATGTTTGAACTTTGAAACAAGATGATATGATACTTCTCAAACCATTTTAAGAGCATATAAATAGACTGAGTGTTATATCTGTGTGAGAAACGAACGCTGTATCGTTTTTCCAATCTAGAACTGCACACATTTTCTATTATTCTCTAAAATCAGGGATAATTAGATTTGAAAATATTCCTCTTTTTGCTAATACAATTAAAAGTGTGTAATTAATAACTATCCGACTTTTTACTTTGTAAAAAAACAACTAATTCGATTTCTAGTAGCTTTTACGTAATATAAACAAAACATATATATAGATAAACAAAAGCCTCTTATCGTAACTAGGGTAAGGAGTATTGGAGTATTCCGTAACTCTATAATGAAAAAATGTTATCAAACTTTCAGAAATATAGGTTTTACTTTTAGAGTTTAGTCATAAACAAATGATTATAATAGTTATGGCCATAGCCTTTGATCTTGCCATCAGCAGGATAAGGGAGTCTGGAATAATATGCAAAGACAGAGACTATTGATAGTTGGCATTTTGAGGAGACAATAAATTTAGTAGGTGGCATCATTTTTGAATAACTTATTTGTTTCCTCATCTGCCTATAATAGTAATCATTTGAGACTTAAGAGCATATACTGTATGATCTCTCTCCACTCTTGGTGTTCGAAACATTTGACCACGGCGGCACGTCCCTTCACCCTCAAGTTTACCAGGACTATATTAAAAGATCATTTCGGTAAAAATAATTAAATGACAAAGATCGTTTCATAGTTTGATATGATCATGAAGACATGGTTAAATTTGTTACCAATCTAATTTCAGCCAAAGATTCTTCAGTATCATAATGACCGTGGTCCGTAATGGAATTAAACCACTAAGACAGAATCTTATGACTTATGAGGATAAAACAGAGGACTGAGACTGAGAAGGAAGTTCATCTGCTCCAATCTTCATTGTTCCTTATAGGTTAATGTAGCTTTTTATTAGTATTTAAACAGCAATTGTAGTTTCTTTGTGAACTTCTGACGATAACACGAATAAGAATAACGAACAAAGCAAGAGATATGTAATGACATAATAACATAATGTAATGGACAATTAGCCGATTGGTTGGGTAAAAAAAAAGAGCACTAACTATCGACGAAATACGAAGAAAATAACAAATACAAAGACTCGTAGCTGCTTCGCAGTTACCATCTCTTTGGTATTTTCTTTGTAAACATTTGGAATCGTTTTCACGTCGTCGCCATGCAAAAGACCTAAATTTATGTGACAAACATAGTTGACTTTTGACTTTTTTTTCTTTGGACTATTAACACTCGTCTTTCTGACCGTATGTAAAAGGTTTGGAATCAGTGTTATGAGTTTGACGAATTCCACATTAGAAATTTCAGAGAGAACCTTCGAATTGCTGTGTAAACTAGCAAGAACAAGACAGATGCGTAAATACTATAAAAAGATCTTGCTTTTGTTAGTTATCTATCATCTGAAACTAACAATGAAGCAGAGATTTTTGTTTTCAATCCTTTGTTTTCTCCTCATTAGCTTTGGTGTTGCTTCAGTTTCAGCACAAACATGTATGAACAATCGCAATTTTAGGCCCAACGGCACATACGACGCAAATCGACGTCTCATCCTCTCTTATCTTCCTTCAAACGTCACGGCTCAAGACGGTTTCTTCTACAACGGTTCGATCGGACAAGAACCGAACCGTGTCTACGCAGTAGGGATGTGCATCCCAGGATCAACTTCAGACGACTGTTCTGATTGTATCAAGACTGCTTCTGATGGTTTGCTACTGAGTTGTCCTAACCAAACAGAAGCCTATTGGTGGAAAGATGATTCCATTTCCACGCTTTGCCTTGTGCGATACTCCAACACTTCTTTCTCAGGAACTGAAGATCTTAACCCGCTTCGAAGGCGCAACAACGCTGAAGAGATAACCTCAAATCTAGAAGAGTTCACGAAAATATGGGAAGAGTTAGTTGTTCGTATGATCAATGCAACCTCCACAGCAAAAAGCACGCCATCGTCTAGTAACAACCATTACACAGCTAATTCAGAGGCTTTCACACCTGCCCGGACTATATATGCTTTGATGCAATGCACGCCGGATCTTTCCTCTGCTGATTGTGACAATTGTCTGCGAGAAAGCGCAGGTGAATACCAGAGATGCTGTGGTCAGAGTCAAGGATTCCGTATTATGCGGCCGAGCTGCTTTTTCCGTTTTGAATTGTATCCACACTCTAACGCTTTCGGTAGTATTACGGTGGCTTCTCCTCCTCCGCAGCCTCCTGTGACTGTGCCACAAACTTCAGGTGATCAGGCAACCACGACCGAAAATGGTTAGTCTTCCGATCTAAATAAAGCTATGAATGTAAGAAGAATTACTTGAAAATATTTATGACATTTTGTTTTTTTTTCTGTGTTGTGAGAAGATAGCAAAGGAATATCACCTGGAATTGTGGCGGCGATTACTTTTACAACTGTTGTCATACTGCTTATTCTAGGATTGGTTCTTTTCCGGAGGAGAAAATCGTTCCAAAGAACTGAGATTGAATGTTAGTTTCTTGTTTTTAGGTCTTTAAAGTTTGCTTTGGTTATAAACATATTCTCACTAAGCCAAGAGAGGAATCAAGAAGAAGCATAACTAGTACACCTTTGTTTTGCAGCTGATAGTGATATTTCCACTGAACATTCATCGCAATACGATTTTAAGAGAATTGAAGCCGCAACCAACAAGTTTTCACCGAGCAAGAAGCTCGGACAGGGTGGATTTGGCGAGGTTTACAAGGTAAGGAGATTTTTGTTTTCCAATGTTGTTTCAAAGTAATTATGAAAAAAAAAAAAAAAAACCCGCGATGTTTGTTTCTCATTCAATGGTATCATGAAGGGTGAGTTTGCAAATGGAACTGAAGTAGCTGTGAAGAGACTGTCTAAAAATTCAGGACAGGGCACAAGAGAGTTCAGGAACGAGGCTGTTCTTGTGTCAAAACTTCAACATAGGAATCTGGTCAGGCTTCTTGGATTCTGTTTGGAAGGAGAAGAAAAGATTCTCATCTATGAGTTTGTTCCCAACAAAAGCCTTGACTATTTCCTATTCGGTATGGTTCCCTTCTAAAGCTTGCATTCCAAGTATTGTTCTTCGGCTTAAAAATGATTGGTTTGTGCAGATCCTTCAAAGCAAGGTCAGCTAGATTGGACTCTACGATACAAGATCATTGGAGGGATTGCTAGAGGGATTCTATATCTTCATCAAGATTCACAGCTCACAATCATTCATCGTGATCTCAAAGCCAGCAACATTCTCTTGGATGCGGATATGAACCCGAAAATTTCAGATTTTGGATTGTCGACGATCTTTGGAATGGAGCAAACTCGAGGCAATACCAACAGAATTGCTGGAACCTAGTAAGTTCTGCTCATAATATCTGTGAACACACAAACTTTTCTAAAACTTATTAACCTTGAGTTGCATAATATTTTTGCAGTGCTTACATGTCTCCTGAGTATGCAATGCATGGTCAATACTCCATGAAATCTGACATCTACAGCTTCGGAGTCTTAGTTATTGAGATTATAAGCGGCAAGAAAAACAGCGGCGTCTACCAGATGGATGAAACTAGTACTGCTGGAAACTTGGTCACTTATGTGAGCGTAAATACTTTAGGTTTCAATCATTTAGCATCTTTAAACATATGACTAATTTTCTTGATTTCTCATTGTGTTAGGCTTGGAGGCTTTGGAGAAACGGGACTCCATTAGAGCTGGTGGATCCGGCCATTGGAAGGAATTATGAAAGAAATGAAGTCACTAGATGCATCCACATCGCGCTCTTATGTATTCAAGAAAATCCAGAAGACCGTCCAATGTTATCAACTATCATCTTAATGCTCACTAGCAGTACAGTCACTTTACCACTGCCTCGGTTACCAGGGTTTTTCCCACGAAGCATGCGCCAAGTTGACCCGGTATCTGAGACACTACAGTCGGATCAGTCTTGAAGCAAGTCTTTTCCTCATTTAGTTCGTAAAAAGTGATATGTTTCTTTACCACATCTGAAAAGTTGAAACACGTAAAATTGTCTGAAAATATTTAACTAATTTCACCATGCACATTAGAAACATAGTAATTCTTTTTGTAATCATATGTTGTAATGTAAACTGTAACATGCTATGGTCAGTTCTGTAAGAAAAGTTTTTGGTGTGAAGACAAACATGAATGTCATTGAAAAGTCTTGTCCAATTTTAAGTCAATAGGTTCAGGTTTTATTTACTCTTGAAGCTGATTCAATGTTTTTTTTTTGTTTTTTTTATCACTGTGTTAAGCTTAATTAGTAGAATAGAGGGTAATTTGGCAAAATCAAGTCACTGTTAATTTGTTCTCAAGAAGAAACGTATAGTATACAACTCAAACTGTATATGCTTGTGTTTACAATTACAATACAAAAGGCTACTAAGAAAAAAGTTCAACTTATGTTCAACACCAGTTGATTTAGTAATCAGGCATGAATTGGTAAAGATTCATCTTCATCGAGTATATACATCTGTGATCGAGGCATCATCAACAGACCCTAGAAGAGACTTGCTCGTTGTAGATTTCTCTGAATCAAGTGGGTCTTTTCCGATTCTACTCTGAAAGAACAGACCTGGTTGCCTAGGCACTGGTAAAGTCACAGTATTACTAGTGAGCATCAGAACAATGGTTGACAAGGTCGGACGCTCCACAGGATCTTCTTGAACACACAAAAGACCGATATGGATGCATCGAACAACTTCATTTCTTTGGCAATTCTCTCTGATAATTGGATCCACGAGGTCTAGGGGTGTTCCATTATTCCAAAGCCCCCACGCCTAGAAAAAAAATCAATCAATCAATCAACACTTGCACCCATGGTCAGGTAAATATGGAACTTGAATAGCTCAAAACTTACATATGAGACTAAGTCATGTGCGCCGTCTGTTTGGTAGAAGCTGTTATTCTTCTTTCCGCTTATAATCTCAAGAACTAACACTCCAAAGCTATAGATATCAGATTTCATCGAGTACTGACCGTGCATTGCATACTCCGGAGACATGTATCCACTGAATATAGCCACGGCAAAACTTTAGTATTTTGGTTCAAAATGTTTCATCAAAACTTCAACGTGTGAGGATTTATAAGGAAGACTTACTAGGTCCCAACTATTCTGCTTGTGTTCTGCTCGGTTTGGTCCATTCCAAAGATCCTTGCCATTCCAAAATCAGCTATTTTTGGATTCATATCCGCATCCAGGAGAACGTTACTGGCTTTGAGGTCACGGTGTATGATTGTAAGCCGTGAATCTTGATGAAGATATATAATTCCTCTAGCAATTCCTCCTATGATTTTGTATCGTCGGCTCCAATCTAGCTGAGCTTGCTTTGCAGGGTCTGTGGACACCATTATGTTAACGTTAGCTCTAAAGACTTGCAAGACAAGTTTTAAGAATTGGCTAAAGAATCATAGCATAGCACTGATCACAAGATTCACAACTCACCGAACAAGAAGTAATCAAGGCTTTTGTTGGGAACATACTCGTAGACAAGCACCCTTTCTTCTCCTTGTAGACAAAATCCAAGAAGTCTAACGAGATTTCTATGCTGTAGCTTTGCAACAAGAACAACCTCATTCTTGAACTCTGCTTCACCTTGTCCTGATGACTTTGACAGTCTTTTCACTGCAACTTCAGTCCCATCCGATAATGTACCCTGTTAATTTCATTAGATCTCATTATCACAATGTTTTGGCACAAAATTTCAAGAGAAACAAAAAAGACACAAGCTCAAGGCAGCTAAGGAACTATAATTACCTCGTAAACCTCACCAAAACCACCTTCACCTATCTTATTACTCTCTGCAAAATCATTTGTTGCAGCTTGGATTGTTCCATAATCCAGCTGCAGCGACTCTACGGTTGTTATATCATCTCCTGGTGCACAACGAAAGTCTTAGAATCAAGAAAAAGAAGCTGAGCATTGACATGAATCACAATCCTAACCTAATTGAAAGAATGTTCATCATCTGAAATCATTACCATCAAATTCAGATGCTGTGCCATAAGTCTTCTTTGCCCTCTTTGCAAGGAAACAGTAACCAGCTATGAAAAGCAGAACAGCTACGATAACAGGCACAACAATGGCTAACACTACCACACTTGAGATCCCACTTTTCCCTGCTTTTCCAAACAACATTTGATTAAGATCAGACAATGGCAGACGAATAAAAAATTAAAAATTCGGTCAAAAGAACAAAGCTGCTAATTTAGGGCAAAACATAGAGGAAAAACAGAGGAAGAAGACAGAGCTCTGACCAGATCGCGGAGGAGTAGAAACCGGCGGCGGTGTTGGTGTTGTAACTGCGGATTCGTTGTAGAACGGGTAAAGGTCGAATCTTGAACTACAGCTCGGAACAATAAATCTTCCCCCAATTTTGTCAGTTGGTAATTGATTGATAGATTGTTGCAGACACCTCGAACAGTCTTGTCTCGTAAGATCAGGAGTGCACTGAACCAGGCCGTACAAACTCTGAGGTCCAGTCCAATTGGCCATTCTCGCATCGAATTTTCTGGAACTGCTCGCGGCGTCAGCTGCGGCTTGGGTCATGGTGGACAACACCAAATCTCTGAACCGGTCTGCTTGGTTAGATGTAATATCTTGGGTGTTCGATAAGCGCACTCCTCCATCGGTGCTTAGAGTCGAGAGAAAATTCCGGTTAGAGTATCTGACCGTACACTCATCGTAATAGAGCACGACCTCTCTCTGATTCGGACACCGATTTAAGGTGTCGTTGACGATAAAGGCGACGCAGCTACGGCAAACTTCCGGCGAGAGGTCTCCACGGCAAAGGAAAGTTCCGGTGACTCTGTTGGGGGCTTGTCCGGCTGTGGCGTTGTAGAATCCGGTGGAGTAAGAGGCGTTGCGGGAAGAGAGAGAAGACAAAACGGTGTTGAGATTGGTGAAGTAAGTGCTGTTTCCGGAGAAAGTTGTCGTATTTGGACAAACATGGTATACGTAATTAGGATCTTGAGCAGAAACTGTGACGCTTGTGAGAAAGGCGAAGAGGAAAAGGGAAATCAGAGAGGCGCAACAAGACATAACTGCGTCTAATCGATTTCTTGTTTCTCGTCAAGCTTTGGGAAACTCCGAATATACTTGTAAAATAATAATACTTGAATTTTGTTCTCTCTCTCTGCAAGCAGAGGATTGGTTTTGTTTTGTGACGAGTGACGACGAAAAGTCAAGGTCAAAGTCAAAGCCTCTTGCCTTGTCAAACTTGTGGTCAGCTACTAATCCATTGTTTGATCTGGTCATTAGAAGGAAAAGAGAGTCAAGAAAGATACTATTTTATTGAATTACACTGGCAATCAACGATGGTGATTTATTTGATTTCAGGTCACCTATATAAAAATGTAAAGCTAAAGAGTTTACAACTTTTTTTAGTGATAGTAAATTGGTTCATCCTTGAAAGTAATTAAACACAATATTCAACGAGGATATAAATCAGTGATGGATGAATCGTCAACAGACGTTGCAACAGACTTGGTTGTAGTAGACTGATCTGTTGTATCAAGCGGGTCTCTCTCTGGTCTACTCTGAACGAAAAATCCGGGTTGCTGAGGCACTGGTAGTGTCACAGTATTACTAGTGAGCATCACAATAATGGTTGAAAAGGTCGGACGATCAACAGGATCTTCTTGAACACATAAAAGACCGATATGGATGCATCGAACAACTTCATTCCTCTGGCAATTATCTACAATAATTGGATCCACGAGGTCTAACCCTGTACCGTTACTCCAAAGTCTCCATGCCTAGAATATATATGATAAATCAGTATTTGCAACCGTTGCTTTATTGTAAGATAGGTAATTAAAAAACTTACATATGTGACCAAGTCATCATGTACACCATCCTGTCTCGTAGAAGCTACTATTCTTCTTGCCGCTTATAATCTCAAGAACTAATACTCCGAAGCTATAGACATCTGATTTCATTGAAAATGTCACCATGCATCGCATATTCCGGTGAGATGTATCCGCTAATCACAAGAAGACCTTTAGTATAAATAAGTCTTTAAATTATGAGAAGCTAAGTGCAAGACTTACTAGGTACCAACTATTCTGCTTGTGTTCTCTTGTGTTTGGTCCATTCCAAAGATCCTTGCCATTCCAAAATCAGTGATTTTCGGATTCATGTCAGCATCCAAGAGAATGTTACTTGCTTTGAGGTCACGGTGTATGATGGTGAGCCGTGAATCTTGATGAAGATATAGAATTCCCCCGAGTAATCCCTTCAATGATCTTGTATCGTCGAGTCTGCCAGTCCAGTTGACCTTGCTTGGCAGGGTCTGTGTGTGCACATCCATGATGAAATATTACACTTAAATCTAAAGAAATTTGGCAAGAATCATTGGAAAAAAAAACAATAAATGCAACTGACCAGAGAGGAAGTAATCAAGGCTTTTGTTAGGCACATACTCGTACACCAATACCCTTTCTTCTCCTTGAAGAGAAAATCCGAGAAGCCTAACAAGATTTCTGTGTTGAAGCTTTGCAACAACAACAACCTCGTTCTTGAATTCTGTGTCACCTTGTCCTGGATGTTTTTGACAGTCTCTTAACCGCAACTTCAGTCCCATCCAAAATGTACCCTATCCGTTTTCATCTCGTTATCAAATGTATGTGTTTGATACAAACAACCTCAGGCGCATAAATTAATTAAATAAGTAATAGTGATGTGATAGTTACCTTGTAAACCACGCCAAATCCACCTTGACCAATCTTGTTACTCTCTGAAAAATCATTTGTTGCAGCTTGAATTGTTCTATATCAAGTTGCAGCGACTCTCTGTTATATCGTCTCCTGTTGTACAATAAACGTCGTAGTAATCAGATTAGAAGAGAAAAAAAAAACATTAACTAAACACAATTAAGATGGTGAATCATTCAAAGCTTTACCATAAAAGCTGGTGCAATATCAGAAGTCTTCTTTGCCCTCTTTGCAAGGAAACAGTAGCCAGCTATGAAAAGCAGAACAACTATAATAGCCACAACGATGGCTACTACTAATACGTTTGAATTCCCACCTTTCCCTGCGTTTTAAAGATTATTTGCTTAGACTCAATCACAAGCACAAAAAAAAACAATAATGGTATTGTAAATTTCGAGAAAACAGAGGAAGAAGAAAGAGCTCACCAGGTCGTGGAGTAGATGACACCGGAGAAGTAGAGACGTTGGTAGGTGGTGGTGGCGGTGCTTGTTGTGATGGTGGTAGTAGTGCTCTAACGGCGGTTTCGTTGTAGAATGAGTAAAGTTCGTACCTTGCACTACAGCTTGGCCGATTAAGTCTTCCTCCAACTCTGTTAAGAGGCATTCCGTAGATGGATTCATAGAGACAGCTCAAGCAGTCTTGTTTTCTAATATCAGGAGTGCACTGAGCCAGAACGTACAGACTCGTGAGTGCGGTCCAGTTGGCCTTTATCGCAGAGAATTTTCTAGAACTGCTCGCCGCTTCAAGGGCAGCTTGATTCATCGTCAACGACACCAAGTCTTCGAACCGGTCTGATTGATTAGATGAAATTTTATTGCCGTTCAACTGGATGTTTCGTCCTCTGAGTGTAACGGTCGAGAGAATATTCTGGTGAGAATATCTGAGCATGCACTCATCGTAATAGAGCACGGCTTCGCTCCATTCGGACAGATATTGAAGGTATGGTTGACGGAAAAGGCGACGCAGTTACGGCAATCTTCGGCGAGGTCTCCGCGGCAGAGGAAAAGTCCGGTGACCCTGTCGGGGGCTTGTCCGCTATGGCGTTTTGGAATCCGGTGGAGTATGAGGCGTTGGGGGAAGAGAGAGAGGACAAAAGGGTTTTGAGATTGGTGGAGTAAGTGCTGTTTCTGGAGAATGTTGTCGTATTTGGACAAAACTGGTTTAGGAAAACAGGATTTCTAGCAGAAGCTTTGAAGCTAGTGAGGAAGGAGAAAAGGAAAAGGAAAATCAAAGAGGTGCAAGAAGACATGGTTCGACTTCCTTGATTTGGGTTTTCACATCTCATGAAGCTCCCATTTATAATATCTTCTCTAAATGAGTATGTGACTACTTTTAGTTAACGTGAAACAGAGGTTGATTTGTTGCGACGAAGATACGTCGATCAAAGTCAATTTCAGTGGAAAATTGTTACGTTGAAATTTCATGCTATTTTTGACAACTTTATTATATTTTTAACACTACATGCAATATAGATATGCTATTGTGAAAATAATCTGTGAGACTAAGTTTTTTTTACCAGCCAAATATCTCTTTTATTTTATTATACTAAAATCAATATTACAGTACGTTTCATGTTACAGTGTAGGTCATCTTCTTATCTCTAGCTAGCTTAGCTAATACATCAACATCTTTTACAACTTTCCGATTGACATGCATATAAGAAAAGGCACATGCAGTATTGCAGTTCTTACAAGATCTTTGACGATGGTTGCAATACGATCGACACCATACTCCTATGTTCTTATGGTTCTGCAGATCATTGATATTTGCAATCAAAATCTTGCAATCCTCTGAAAATGTGAATTCCGTATATTCAACTTCGAGATCTCCTTCACCGCCACAAGATGGCTTTTAATTATCCATAGTTTAAGCTTCTATATCCATAGTTTCTAGTCCAAGATGGTTTTATTAAGAAGATGTGAGATTAAATATCTAAGTTATGATTTAATTTTGCCACCATTTTTCAGCAAATTCGTACTGCCCAAAATTATACTATTGACCTATGGAAATTTTTGGTTCGTTATACAAAACTTCCACAAATTCGTCGTCAGGAGAAAAAAATAGTCTGATCATTGACTTTGTCTTTAGAGGAAAAGTAAGTCAACAATTACGTGGAAAGGAGGGTGGGAGAAAAATAACCCATTTAGTAATAGTGATTTAGGGGTTATTATTTTTCATAGTTGGCAAATAATGCCTAGTAATAGATATTTCTTTTCATATTTGTCTTGAGAAGCTCTCTTACCCATTCACAAGACATTCGTATTTCCCTAACTAGGTTTGAAGCGCGGGGTTGTTTGCGATAGTTTTCTGTTTAGTTTTATCTATACTTGTTGATTTGAATTATGATGGTTTTGTATTAACTTTCATTTTTTGTTTATATTTTGAGTTAACCCAATCACTAACATTAAAAATATGAACAATTTGTCTTTTATTTTATTTTATTAGGATGTTAACACTCCCACTTTATCTCGAGTTTTCTATTTCTAAAATTTTAGCATGTTATAAATATTATGTTTGTTTACTTCTGTTAGACTATAAACATGCATATGCATTGGACTCAACGTTAAAATTTGTAAGCATAATGTAAAATAGCATTTGGACCCGAAATAAGATGAAAAAAATAATATATATACTTTTTTACATATCTACTTTGTTGTGGTAGCATATGAGCCTCATAACCATTGATTATTTTCTATTATGTTAGTTTTGTAAATATTAATTATATTTTGAGACAAACATATCACAATCCTTAAAATTTTCATGTTTTTCACTGCAATTAAATTTACATATAAAAACTCGACTTCTATTTTTTTTTAAATAAACTCTAACTCTAATTTCTCATTGGCTTTTTATTATCTTAATTAATTTATATTCAACTTTTTAACTTGTAAACACATTATAACATTTTGAAATAGGATAAATTCTTTTAATAAAAAGGTAAATATATACCATTTCAAGTTACATATATTTTTACTTATATTCAAACTTTTTGATAAATTTTAACATCAAGTTATCACATATTTTATATTAATTAAGTAATTTAGTTGTGTATTTTTCTTAGTTTTATTTATATTTAAAATATAAATATATGCAAAGAAATATGAAAAGTCATGTATTAAATATCTTAAAAACAATTTAATGAATTTTTTGTGCTGATGTGGACACTCTATATGGAGAGAGCAACTCCCTAATTATATATAAGATAATAGATGCGAATAACGTTATTCTTTTAACTGTTGTCTCGAATTATACAGATGATTTTGATTATATACCTGTTAAGGGTTCAAATATTAAAAAGTTAATATTGGCAAACGATGATGCTTTATTTGATTTCAGCTTGCAACCTTTAGAAAAATGTAAAGCGGATTTTTTTTATAACTTGTGATTTTTTTTATATATTTGATGATTTATTTGATTTAAGTTTGCAACCTTCAAGGTAAACAACTAAACACCATGTTCAACGAGGATAGAATTCAGTGATCGATTGCTGAATTGTCAACAGACGTTGGAACTGACTTGGTTGTAGTAGACTGATCTGAATCAAGCGGGTCTTTTTGGGGTTCACTCTGATGGAAAAACACTGGTTGTCGAGGCAGTGGTAATGTCACAGTATTACTAGTGAGCATCATGAAAATGGTTCGCATGGTTGGGCGTTCTACAGGATCTTCTTGGACACATAAAAGACCAATATGGATGCATCGAACCACTTCACTCTTTTGGCAGTTCTCTACAATAACTGGATCCACGAGGCCTAAAGCTGTTCCGTTACTCCAAAGCCTCCAAGCCTATAGATAGAATATCAACTAATCAGTTCTTGCAACCATTGCATATTTTAAGAGAGGTAAATTTGAAACTTACATATGTCACCAAGTCATGTGCGCCGTCCGTCACGTTGAAGCTGCTGCTCTTTCGACCGCTTATGATCTCAAGAAGTAACACTCCGAAGCTATAGACATCAGATTTCATTGAGAACTGGCCATGCATCGCATATTCGGGTGACATGTATCCGCTAAAGTGCACAACAAGACCTTTAGTATATTTTAACAAACTCCAAGTTATGAGGAAGCTAAGTGGAAGACTTACTAGGTGTCAACTATTTTGTTTGTGTTCTCCTTGGTTTGGTCCATTCCAAAGATCCTCGACATTCCAAAATCAGCAATTTTCGGATTCATATCTGCATCCATGAGAATGTTACTTGCTTTGAGGTCACGGTGTATGATTGTGAGCCGCGATTCTTGATGAAGATATAGAATCCCCCGAGCAATCCCACCAATGATCTTGTATCGTCGAGTCCAGTCCAGTTGATCTTGCTTTGCAGGGTCTGTGTGTGCACATCCATTAATTACAACTAAATCTAAAGAAGTTTTAAGAAGGGCTAGAGAATCATCGATAAATAAAACAAGAAATGCAACTGACCAGAGAGGAAGTAATCAAGGCTTTTATTGGGCACATACTCGTAGACCAATATCCTTTCTTCTCCTTGTAGTGAGAACCCGAGAAGCCTAACAAGATTCTTGTGCTGAAGCTTTGCAGCAACAACAACCTCTTTCTTGAACTCTGCTTCACCTTTTCCGGATGATTTTGAAAGTCTTTTAACCGCAACCTCAGTCCCATCCGGAAATGTACCCTATTTGTTTTCATCTCGTTATACAAATTTGTTGATACAAACAACCTCAGGCGCATGCAATCAAAGAATTAATAGTGATGTATAGTACCTTGTAAACCTCACCAAATCCAACTTGACCAATCTTATTACTCTCTGCAAAATCATTTGTTGCAGCTTGAATTGTTCTATAATCACGTTGCAGCGATTTTAGCGTTATTATATCGTCTCCTGTTGTACAATAAACGTCCAAGTAATCATATTAAAAAGACACTTACGAAACACAATTAAGATGGTTAATTAAGCATTCAAATCTTTAGCATCAAAGGCTAGTGCATTACCAGAAGTCTTCTTTGCCCTCTTTGCAAGGAAACAATAGAGAGCTGTGAAAAGCAGAACAACCACTATAATAGCCACAAGGACGATGGCTACTACTAACACGGTTAAATTCCCACCTTTCTCTGCGGTTTAAAGATCACTTGCTTAAAATCTCTAGAATCGCTAGCTAACTTCCCAAAACAGAGGAAAAAAACAGAGGAAAATGAAAGTGCTCACCAGGTCGTGGTGGTGTTCTAAAGGCGGTTTCGTTGTAGAATGGGTACATTTCGTACCTTGAACTACAGCTTGGCCAAAGAACTCTTCCCCCAAGGTTGTTAAGAGACATTCCATCGATAGATTTATGGAGACAGCTCAAGCAGTCTTGTTTTCTAAGATCAGGAGTGCACTGAACCAGTACGTACAAAGTCTGAAGTGCCGTCCAGTTGGTCTTCATCGCAGAGAATTTTATAGAGCTGCTCGCTGCTTCAATAGCCGCTTGATTCATCGTCGACGACACAAAATCTCCAAACCGGTCTTCTTGTTTTAATGAAATTTTATTCTTGTTCAACATGAAGTATCCTCCTTTGAGTATAACGGTGGATAGAATATTCGTGTGAGAATATCTGAGCATGCACTCATCGTAATAGAGCACGACTTCTTTTGCGTTCCGACACTTAGCTATGGCTTGGATGATGGAAAACTCGACGCATTTACGGCAAACTTCAGGGGACAAGTCTCCGCGGCAGAGGAAAAGTCCGGTGACCTTGTTGGGGGCTTCTCCCGCTGTGGCGTTCTGGAATCCGGTGGAAAAAGAGGCGTTGGGGGAAGAGAGAGTGGAAAAAACGGTTATGAGATTGGTGAAGTAAGTGCTTTTCCTTGAAAATGTTTTTGTATTTGGACAAAAATTGTATAGGAAATAAGGGTCTTTAGCAGAAGCTGTGAAGCTAGTGAGGAAGGAGAAAAGGAAAAGGAAAATCAAAAAGGCGGAAGAAGACATGATTAGGCTTTCTTGGTTTAGGTTTCGGATCATGCATGAAGCTCCCATTTATAGATATTCTCTGAGTCTGTGAGACTGTAAGAGGGTGGTTTGTGGCGACGACTATAAGTCTATCAAAGTCAATTTCAGTGGAAAATTGCTATGTTGAAATTTCATGCTCTTTTCCGATAATTCGTACATTATCTTTTATCATTGCACATGCACGTAAGCCAAAATAATTGTATATGCAGTTTCTATATTTATGCTATTTAGTACTCCATTTGTTAAAATATCTCTTAATTGTCATTTTGGCACACCATTTACCTAAATAACTTATATAATAATTATATGAATTTTAACATTTTGTTGGTTCGCTATAGAGAATCTCCACAAATTATAGGAAATGTAGATATCCTTCTTCTTCTTCTTTTTTGTTGATAAAGAGAATCTCCACAGATTGTAGGAAATGTAGATATCATTTACTTGTCTTTAGAAGAAAAGTAAAAGGAGGGTGGGAGAAAAACAACTCACTTAACCATTCTAAGAATTAAAGAAAATATGTGTCCGCCCGCTATACAATCTCCACAAATTCATATTATCACGGAAAAAACTGACCAGACCACTTCTGACATATCATAGAGATATCCTCGACTTGGTCATTAGACAAAAGAGTATTATGTTTTAACCACAGTAAAATTCTATAAATTAATAATTTTAGGACATATAAAATTCTGTTATTTTAATAATTTATTAATTTATATGTTTTTGGGTTGCAGCTCTTAGTGTTCATCAACAAAATATTTTTGATACTATAATTTTTTGCATTATTAAGGAGACCAGTAAAATTTAAAGTTGGCATTATTTCAAGAGTTAATTTCTGAATTAAAATATAAACATAAACTAATTTTTTATCATTATACTTCTATTTCTTAGGATTGTTATTTTTCAATACGAACGTCTTTTTCATGCCTTTTTCAGCAGTCATTTTATAACGTAGAAAAAAGAAGTACGTAGATAAGGAATTAGTGTCGTTTAACTATATATTTGAATAGTCTCTTAAAATTTTGGAATCTTTGTTGACTATTCGTTTTAAAAAAAGTCTAGGTCCGCGACTTGTTCGGTACATCAATGAGTATTACAGATTTACAGTGTAGATGAAAAAAATCCACGACAAAGAGCTAAGATTACGATGTAGAGACATGATAGAGTTTGTACATAACTTTGATGAGTATCTCACAAATAAACCTATTTACATTTAAAATTTTCAATAGGATATTACAGTTTCAGCTGTAATATTGTCTATAACAACTAGTTTCGGTGACGTTCAACGAGGTTCCAGATCTGTAATGGTTAGATCATTGTTAGTGTATGAATTGGACGTGATCGTAGATTGGATAGACACGATGCCATCTTGTTCTCGGTAACTGCGTCTATTTGGAAAGAAGAATCCAGGTGTTTGAGGAAGAGGTAAGTTTAGGGAGTTCCTAGTGAGCATCATGTCGATTGTGGACAGGTCAGGACGATCTGTGGGATCGTGTTGAACACATAGCAACGCAACGTGGATGCATCTTGTCACTTCTTCGGTCTGACAATTCTCTGAAATGGTTGAATCCACAAGTTCTAATGGTCTCCCGTCTCTCCACAATCTCCAAGCCTATAACATCATTTCAATCATCAGTTACGAACTCACAGTTACATAAGATCATATTGTTACAAAATCATTTGATCACCGCTCAATAACTTAGTTCCTTGGTACTCACGTATGTGACCAAATTCTCAACTGTAGTAGTGTCTGCTTGGTGGACAAACATGTTCTGTCGACCACATATAATCTCAAGAACTAAGACTCCGAAACTATAGACATCTGATTTCGTTGAGAACTGTCCATGCATTACATATTCTGGGGGCATGTATCCTCTGCAAGAGTAAAAACACAAGCAATAAATAATTACAATGGTGAAGAAAAAGAATCTTGAAGATTCAAAATCTAATCACACTTGATGTAAAAAGCCTTTTCCTTTTGAATAAATTTCACATTTTTTTTTTTTTCAAAAAGGTAATACTCATTTACCTTGTCCCAACTATCCTGTTTGTATTTGCTCCGTTTTGGTGCATCTCAAAAATTCTGGCCATTCCAAAATCAGCAATTTTAGGGTTCATATCGGCATCTAAGAGAATGTTACTTGCTTTGAGATCACGGTGTATGATTGTGAGCCGCGAATCATGATGAAGATATAGAATTCCTCTAGTGATTCCCCCGATAATGTTGTATCGTTTTGTCCAGTCTAATTCCCCTTTCTTTGTTGGATCTGCACATACTCAACTAGCTATTATTAGCCACTTCTACAATATTTCCACCATATAAGTCTAATGAAATGCTAAATTCCACATACCAAAGAGGAAGTAATCAAGGCTCTTGTTAGGGACAAATTCATAAATAAGGATCTTTTCTTCTCCTTCTAGACAAAAGCCGTGAAGCCTAACAAGATTCTTGTGCTGAAGTTTTGCAACAACAACAACCTCGTTCTTGAATTCTAGTGCACCTTGTGATGATGTTTTCGATAGCCTCTTCACAGCAACTTCTGTTCCATTAAGCAACGTACCCTACAAATGACATCAATGAGACAAATATAAAGCATGCTTACTTTGGCTCTGTTTTCCAAATTTTGTCAAGAGAAGTTATGAACCAAGTAGCTACATAAATGACACCTTAAAAACTTCGCCGAATCCACCTTGACCAAGCTTGTTACTAAACTTGTCTGTTGCAAATTCAATTGCCTTAAAATCAAATTGGAGGGAACGTACAGCTGAGATACCAGCTGCAAACCAAAAAAGTAACAAAAGAAAAATCAAAGACACACTCTGTGATATCCTAATCTAAGACTATTGTAATAAATCTTCATAACTAATTCCATAGACTATATGTTTATGTACATGGTAAAACCTAAGAGGCCAAAGAAAAGTAACACTTACATTGAGAAAAATCAAATTCTTGAAATGGTTTTTTCTTCCAGCAAAGTAGAGCAGATCGCCGAATAATTAGTACCACGATGATGATGATGATAATGATGACTACAATGGGAACAACAATTGCCGCAATAACTCTTGTTGACATTTTTCTACTACCTGTGGGAGTGCCATATATAATAACCTTTAAAAACAATTGACTGGTTTTTGTCACATTGCTCATAGTTTTGCAAGAAACTTACCATCAGAAGGAGGAGGAGGACGATAAGCCACAGAAATATTATCAAAAACCTTGTAGAATGCAACCACATCCCAACGGAAATAGCAGTTTGGCTTCATAATAACGCCTCCTTGCCTCTGACCACAACATGACTGGTGTTGGAGACATTTTTCACAATCACCAGAAGAAAGATCCGGCGTGCACTGCATCAAAGCGTATAGATTCTGTGAAGGTGTCAATGCTGCAACATCAACTGTGTAATGGTTATCACTGGACGATGGTGTGCTTTCTT